CACTTAATTATCACAACTCCACAGGAACTACTTAATATAGTTTTAAATGTCAAATTTCTTTTCTACCATATACAAAAGAAATCCAAAGAGTATTCCTAAACTACAATTGTGAAAAACCACACTTACAGCTTTTTTTAATGTTTTTATTTAATTAAATATGTATATTTTTACAAACTATGATGGCTAAAATGAATTTAATTTCATATATTAACATTTGTATACTATTAGTATAATTATTATTATTTACTAATTTATTTTACATAATTATTTAATTTTTGAATTTAATTCACTTTCAACTAAAATGTGCCAGAATTGCCCAAAAAACAGAATTATATATATATTAAAAATAAAGTCAATTTTTTTCCTAGGGTTATTCTAACGTGTTTTTTTTTCTACAAGATAAAAGGTTTCAGTCAGTTATTTGGTCACAGATGAGGAAACAGATTCTTGGACTGATTGTTGATGTCCTGGTGTCTCATTAAATCTCTGTCCGCCGCAGCACTCTGCTCTGTCTGAGTACCGACCCATTCTGGCCACCAGGCCTACATCCAACTCCTTCTACTCCGTGGCTGACATCAAGCTAACACTCATTCCCATCATCTTCATTGTCCTGCGTATCTGGAGCACCGTGCGCTTCATCCTGCTGCTGGTGGACTCTGCAGCACGACAGAACTCGATCCTGGTCACTCTACACGTGAGTCCACATCAGTGACGTTCCTCTTCCATCTCAGTGCTCACTTGTCGTTTTTTCCTCTTTCCTTCTCCTCGTTCCTCCAGTGCCTTCCTGACAGTGTCGTTTCCGCCCACAGGGAATCGGGAACACCTTGCAGGGAGCAGCCAACTGCATCATGTTTGTCTTGTTTACTCAGCCCATCCGCTCGCGCCTGTGCTCTGCACTCTGCTCCTGCTGCTCCTCCAGGTGTGGAGCAGAGGCGCAGCAGTCACACGGTGCCTCTCACAGCCTGCTGCCTGGACAGGACACGTCCACACAGAGGGACGGAGACAGCGTCGGCAGCAGCAGGGCTAAGACACAAAGATGATGTGAAATCCTGAGGAGGAGGAGGAGGAGGAGGAGACTGATGGATGGAACTCATTGTGAAGAAAATAAAGTCTTGGGGCTGGATGACCTCCACCCGACCCCCAGCCTCACTTCAGTCAGTGGCGACAGAACAGGATGAAGTTTCTACAGGTCTGTGGAAACACAGGCTCTGAAGAAACAGGCGTCACACCTGATCTTTGGTGACGATGGTCAAACTGACTTGATGATGTCACGTCAGTGTTTGGTTGAAGGTTCTGGAAAGTTAAAGTATTTTTTTTTATTATTATTATTTCAAATTTTCTTTACATTTTAGGAATTGTTTAAATTGTTGCACTGAGTTTTTAGGTGTTTGATTAACAATGATTATTAATTACCTAAAGAGACAGGATGAAAAATTTGATTAACAATGATTATTAATTACCTAGGTTACTGCTAAAGAGACAGGATGAAAAAAACAATGATGTTTTGACTTTGTTTAGTAAATGTACTGGTAAAACTGGTAGACGAAAAGTTACTGTCACATTGATTTCAATTTGAATCCATTTTACCTTGAGCTCTGCTACTGCCTTATCTGTAGGTCGAGCTTCATGCAGCGCCAGAGATGTTATACTTGGCATACTTGAACACCTTGATAGTTTTGACGTAACTGTGATAGGTCTTTATACATATATGTATTTATTTCTTATAACAAATGAAAAGTGTGTTATTTCTTATAATACATTTTGTTCCTAAGTGCCTCTCACTCACCCTTGTCCTCACATTCCGGTCTAAATTAAGTTTCATTATTTTGCAAATGGTCACCAGTGTTGGATTGATGACTGCATCGTTCTGTCACTGTGGTCAAACGTGTCAACTGTCATCACATGTCAACCTTCCCCCCCGGAAACATGAGCCTTTTCTCATGAGCTTTACTTCCCCTTTGACCCCCTGATGTTGTCAGCTCCACTTTGACCGATTCAGCTGCTGACTCCTCTCTTTTTCTCTCTCTCTCTCTCTCGGTGATCAGTCCGATCAGAGACTCTTTCTTCTTAAAAATATATGATTAAATGAGAGTAAGGTTTTGCAAACGTGTTAAGTTTGTCCTCTGGTCATCAGAGTTTGTTTAACTTGGAGGAGGTTGTGTGTGAGGCGTTGTAATCCTGTCTGTGATAAATTAGCTAAGGAAGTAAAAATGGATGATTGTACTCACTAACAGGTCATTATGTAGCTGCTCTGCGCAGGGATTACTGGGGGATTAGGAGGCCCCGAGCTTCTGTGAGGAGGACTGTACACATTCCTATAGAAAAGTTCCACAGTTACAAAGACACCTCCAATGACTGAAAGTAGGTCACAGTGTCCGCAAGGAGAAGCTGAGCAACTAAAGACTGTGGAGTTTGAAGTCTCCAGAGGACTGAGCTGTGTGATCAGACCACCCAAAAAAAATAACCCCATCTTATTCCACAATTTATTGGTTTATTCTGTTTCCTTTCTCGTACACTGTATCGTGTGTGGCCTCAGAGCTACAGTAAAATAAGTTTGGCTGATTTAATGTTACAAATCCAAGCAACTTGTTCTCAGACTTGCTGTATTTTCCAGACTATAAGTCGCTCAGGATTATAGGCCGCACCAGTGCCCTCTAGAGGCTGTCAATGTGAAAATAACAAACGTTTTCAGTGGTACAGGAGTAGCAGAGACTGGTACACACAAGCCTAGAGTGCCCTCTAGAGGCTGTCAGTGTGAAAATAACTAACGTGAAATTATATACAGTATTTTAATGTATAAGTCGCACCTGAGTATAGGTCACAAACCCAGTCAAAGGATTAAAAAAAAAGTGCGACTTATAGTCCGGAAAATACGGTACTCCAAGTTTCTTGTTTTTCTCTGATTTTCATGGAACTGAACTTAGACTTCAGTTAATGTTTGTTTTCATATTGCCTTTATTTCCAAGCTCAAATATATTATTAAATATATTTCTAAAACATTGAATTTTGAAATAAAAATACCTTCCTCCCATTTAATCTCCTCCTTGGACTAAAGGTCAGTCAGGTCAGACCTCCGTCCCTCAGGTCCCACAGTAACAGTTACAGTCCACCGAACACGATATGTGTCAAACAGAGGAAGTGAAAGGTGCTGATGATGACAAAATGGCCAGTGGGCAGGTTTTTTTTCCCACTCTGTCCTTGAGGATGCTGGAGGTCTCCCTCTGTGCTCACACTCTTGATATTTCCTGCAGGAATTCATCTGTTGTGTGGCTGTTCAGTCTTGACTGACGTTGAAGTCACAGGAGCTGAGCTCTGGCTCTCTGCCCGTTTAATTCATTAGGTTAAAGAATAGCTGTATCACAGTGATCAGTCACCGGTGGAGAATATTGACTTCCCTTTGTTCAACACAGTCTGTTCATTTGGCTGCATCTGTTAGGCAGCCACTTCTCAAATATTTAAGCCGGTGAACGTCATGGGCAGTAGATCAGAGCTGGACGTTTGAATAAAGAGAACAAACTGTAGAAATCGAAGTTCACGCTTGGTTTGCAGAAGTCTTCAGCTGGTGAATTGGATGCGTCGTTTTTCAGTTGCACTTTACTTTTTATTCATCTTCCTTTTTTTCATTGCGGTTAATTGTGAGGCGTTGGCAGCCACAACAGCTCCACCAGCTGTTCATCTGAAATATTTCTACTTCCACAAACAAGTTATTGAAAAATGGAAAAAAAGATTTCCCACATCTCCTTTGGTCATTTACTTTCATTTATCAAAATCATACGACCTTGTAAAAACAGCTACGACTGAGCAGACATGAACTAGTTTAACTAGTTAAATGTTAACTTGATACCTTACCAAGTTATTGGTGGTACGCTTACCACAGTTTGAGAACCACTGTTCTAAAGAATCAAAGTAAAAGACAGGGGGTGGGGTGGTCTGTAGCTGTACCGTTTTGGTTTTTTTTTTTCTGTTCGTTCACCTTAAGCGAAACTTCCTTTAATGAAATGAGACATTAATAATTAACAAGAATGAATAAAGACGAGCATCAAAGGCTTTACCAGCTGCTAGTTTTACACCATGTTAGTGTTTTGTGTCATAAAACGTCTTCTGTAGTCCGGCCTGCCTGTGGCTGAGCTGTAAAGACACTCATTTTATGTTAATTTCACTCTTCACTTTTCTGATAACACCAGCCTTAATGCCAGCTGTAAAGTAAGTGAGTGGACGTTATGGTCCAATAAAAGCTCCATTTATTGACGTTCATGTCAGCGTATTTAATATCAGGAGTGTATAGCATTGAAAATAATAACCTGAAGTAGAGTCAGCAACATTGCAGTGATAAACCACTGATCCTGAGTCCAAAGGCCGGACAGACTGTGGTGGAGCTGTGACAACACAGTGTGTAGGTGTCACTGCTGTTTGTGACAAGTCCACACACAGCTATGGACATGTATGAGGAATGGGGGAAGCCAGACGAGAGGAAGGGGGTGAGTTAGAGTCCACCTGTGATCGTATTTGCTCTTCTTCTTGGTCTGTTCTGTTCTGTGTACAACCTGAGCTTCACCACGCGTCTCTTTAACAACAGAGACTAACTGCAGTCCTGGCTCTGGCCACACTCATATCCACCTTTGGTTCATCTTTCCAGTATGGCTATAATGTCGCTGTGGTCAACTCTCCATCACTGGTAAACCACACACACACACACACACATGTCCTGTTGAGGCTGTTGTCAGTGCAGTGACCGTGTCCTGGTGTCTGTAGATCATGCAGCAGTTCTATAACAGCACCTACCTGGAGCGGTACGGTCAGCCAATGGAGGAGAACTTCCTGACTCTGCTGTGGTCACTGACCGTCTCCATGTACCCGTTTGGGGGATTCTTTGGTTCTTTGATGGTGGCTCCTCTGGTCAACAAGTTAGGAAGGTAACACAACATGTGACATTCCTCCGCCCAGGTGAGACTTCTCTGGTGATGAGATCTTTAACAAATGTTATTTTCAGGGATGTCCAAAACAACAACATTTTTAGTAATTTTAGACCCACAGACAGTCTTTAAACATATATCTGTAGTTAGGCCTGTGGTCAATATGAGACAAAGGCAGCTGTGAATTAGGAAGTCATCGTCCTCGTCTATCATCACAGCATCATTTACCAAAGAGTATAAATGTGCATGTGAAGGTTGTCTCTTTTTTTTGAGAATCACAATATGAATAACGATGTTTTTGGTTTCCTGGATCAGGAAAGGTACCCTCCTCTTCAACAACATCTTCTCCATCGTTCCTGCTGTGATGATGGGAGTCAGTGAGACCATCAAGTCCTATGAGATCATCATTGTGGCTCGGTTCATAGTGGGCATTTGTGCCGGTCAGACCCTTCACCGTCAGGTTTTTGACATGGTTCAGTTTAAGGCTGAGGTTCCTCAACATTCATCGTTGGCTTCTGTCTGAAGGTCTGTCGTCAAATGTGGTTCCCATGTATCTGGGTGAACTCTCGCCTAAAAACCTGAGGGGGGCCATTGGCATCGTGCCGCAGCTCTTCATCACTATTGGAATCCTCTGTGCACAAGTTCTTGGCATTAGACACATACTGGGCAACAGCACAGGTACAGACTGTCATGTTGGATTCACAATTCACAAACCAGCGTGCACTGAATCAAGCAGTGATGCAGCAGTACGTTTTTGCTCATCATGGAAATTTAATTTGTTTTTGTTCATCTTTCGAACGGTGGCAGAAAGAACAATTAAACACTCTTCCACTGGGTGGCAGCAGATGTCAATTGAAAACTAAAAAAAAAAAAAAAAAAACACCCCCAAAAAAGAAAACCTGTTGTAAAAGATTCTTGTGTCTTTCTTCAATTTCTGCCACTTACATATATTTGCAATTTAAAATATATGCCATGATTGAAAATGGGTTAAATGATTCTGCTATACATCACTGCTCAGTGGAGTTGGTTAGTTCTGTCTGGTCTGTGTCCGTCCAGGTTGGACCCTCATGCTGGGGTTGACTGCTATTCCTGCCGCCATTGAGCTGATTCTGCTGCCCTTCTGCCCTGAGAGCCCCAGGTACATGCTCATCCAGAGGAAAGACGAGAAGACAGCAAGGAAAGGTGGGAACATGTCAGAACCAACCGTTATATATAAGAAGTGGACTGGAGCTCATTTCACACTGACGTCACCTTCAAACAGACACAGTGTCATTTCAAGTCTGATATAAATCTCCACATTATTTTCAGGACAATGTTTACTAGTACTCAATCAATTGAACCGATGTCGTTCCCTCCACTCCCTGGGCTTCACTTTAAGAATCACATGCTGACATCCATTTTCTCTATGAACTTAATGACCAAAACCAAAAGTGCTGTGTTAAAGAGTGGTCCAGTTTTTTGTTTTTTTTAATTGCTGTCTGTATTGTTCATCTTCTCAGCGCTGCAACGTCTTCGTGGCTGGGACGATGTGGATGCAGAGCTGTCAGAGATGCATCTGGAGGACCAGTCCGAACGAGCTGAAGGTCACCTGTCCGTGCTCTCCCTGCTGTCCCAACGCTCTCTGCGCTGGCAGCTGGTCTCCATCATCATTATGAACATGGGCCAGCAGCTGTCTGGGGTCAATGCGGTGAGTACTGCAGGACCTGCTCGTCCAGGTGTCTTGCTGTCCTTGTGCAAGTGTCCTCAAAACACCGACTTGTCCATTTGAAATAATCGTTCAGCTGCGGTTGTCTCCCTTCCCCAGATCTACTATTACGCAGACAGCATTTACAGCACTGCAGGAGTCAAGCAGAATGACATCCAGTACGTCACAGTGGGGACCGGAGCAGTGAACGTCTTCATGACCATAGCTGCTGTAGGTGTTCTGCACATCATGGTTGGATATAAGAGGTCCACATCAACGTGGACTCCTGCTGTGGGAAATTAAAGTTTCACAGTTCATTTGTTAAACCAGGTCTTCATCGTGGAGGCCTCGGGCAGACGGCTGCTCCTCCTCTCCGGTTTTGGGATCTGCTGTGGAGCCTGTGTGCTGCTCACTGTCGCTCTCAAGCTGCAGGTACTACAAGCTGAGACTGAGACTTTGCTACCCTCTAGTGGATCAGAAAATTTAAAAAAAATAGACTTCTAGCTTTTTTAAGACAGAAATGTGGTGTGATCACACTTTCATATCTCTGTCCACTGATCAGGCAGCAGTGTGGGGAAGAGCTGCCTCAATCAAAATGAAATGTGAAACAGTGTGTGTGTGTCATCCACCACCTTCAGTAGTGACTGATGAGACACTGAGGCCGCGGAAGTGACTGTGACAGTCCAGGCCCCTCCTCCACTGTTACTACTGTTACACATCTGAACTATTGAGTTTTGTAACAGACAGGGTGACTGAGCAATGGAAATACCCTCAGTTCAAGTGAAATCAACATCAGCATCAGGTGCTGTGTCTTAAAAGCAGAAGCAGAGTTATCAACAAGGAGTGAAAACAGGTGACACAAGAGGAAGCAGCCGTTAAGGCTGATATCATGATACTAATCGTTGGTGTGACAAAAGGTGACGAAACATTATGCGATGTAACACAAGCATAAACTTGAATTTTTCTGTCCCTAAAGTTTTTCCAAGGAATTTGGAGGCGTCACTGGGTTTCATTTTGATTCATCTAATTTACCAGAGCTGGAGAGAGAACTGACTAACAGGATTTGTCATGCACGCTGATGTTGATGATTGCTAACTTTGCTTTGCTCTATACAGTCACAGTTACAGTAGCAGGTATACAGTTGTGTATGGATTCTACAGTCATTAAATACAGAGAATATAGAGAAAATGAACTTATTAATTACATTTGATCCTGACAAAGAAATATTTATTTTCCTATAAAATAAAAAGAAAACACGAAGGCAAAACAAGTGTTACTGTAGCGCAGTACTACAAACCACCTGTCTCCAGACTCAGAGCTGGTACCAGACCCAGGTCTGGGTTTGGAGTCCAGACTATGATTGGTAAATATTAACTGCAGCTGCTGGTTTGTGTTTTTGCAGGAGACTGTGACGTGGATGCCGTACATCAGCATCACCTGCGTCGTTATCTACGTCATTGGCCACGCCATAGGACCCAGTAAGTCTGAGCCGTCTCTCTTTAAACCCAACATTCCCACTCCCTCTGATTGGTCACACACACAGTGTAAGGTGTCATTTCTTGAAATATCCTCTGTCACCGTGGGAACTTTCAAGATGTCCTCACAGTAAAAGCACTTCCACAAAAATATCCCAACGAATATTGCAATACTACGAACACAAATACACTCCCCTACACACACACACACACTGATGACCTCCATCAGCTGAAGTCTCGTCTGGATGGGACCAGACGTGTAATAAGACGTGACGTCAACGTGTGCAGCGTTGGTTCAGACGAGAGGCTTCACTCAGTGATGATTGGTTGTCAGTGTTTCGGTGGAACTCAACCACAGGTGTTGCTCTGCAGGTCCCATCCCTTACGTGGTGACCACTGAGATGTTCAGGCAGTCGGCCCGACCTGCTGCCTTCATGGTTGCTGGGTCTGTGCACTGGCTCTCTAACTTCACCGTCGGTCTGGTCTTTCCCTTCATGGAGGTCAGTTACACAACATCCCAGAGATCTTATTTACTTTATCTGCTTTTGCAAGACTCCGTTGTTTCAACATGAAATTGAGTTCAGTAAATTCCTGCTCTGTCACGCTTTGATGAAATCTGACCTTACTAACTTTTAAACCTGTTTATCTCCCTCGTCCAGGCACACAATAGCATGTAGATCACCAGTGGTTTGGTGGTGATGCTCTAAAATGCTACATAGTCTACATAAACATGCTACATAAAATGCTACTTGTCTTAGTTCAACATTAGTTTACACAAAATGAACCAAACAAAATCCCTAAAGGTTCAGGAGTAAACTACTTTAAAGTAGTGACAAAAAAGTAACAAAATGATGTTATTTTTCATTGGACCTATATTGATAAAACAAATCCATGCATAGTATCTTAATCATTAAATTATTATCAGAAATATTGTATATCTTGATCCCATTTAGAGGAAAATAGCAATAAAGCATGATTCTTATGGCTGTCCTAGTTTGTTACAAAAGCCAGAAACAATGTGCGTCTGTTTGCTGGACACGTCTGGATTTATCGGTTTCAGAATGCCTTAAACCAGAACTCTCCTAATAAACAACCAGCCATCGGTGACTTCATTTCTCCTCCTCCTTCCAGAGAGGCCTGGGTCCGTTCAGCTTTATCATATTTTCCGTCATCTGCCTGGTCACTCTGATCTACATCTGGGTGGTGGTTCCCGAGACCAAGAACAAGACCTTCTTGGAGATATGCCAGATGTTTTCCAGGAGGAACAAAGTAGAGATTAAAGTAGGTGATGGAGATCTGCCTCTGACAGAGAGTAAAGAAAGCCTGGAGCAGAGAGTGAAGGTCACTCCTTTCTGAAGAAATATTAGAGCATTCAAAAGAAAAGGAAGTCCTGGCTCCAGGGTGGCTTTAATGGACTGGATTTATTTTTTTAATGTAAATGAAGGCCAAAGTGGACAGATCCTGGTACTGTGTTCCTGCTTTGATGGGAAAACAGAAGTCTTTGTGTGTTTGACTGCAGGATGTGAGGTAACGCTGGCACCACCTCCAGATTTATGGAGAAGTTATTGAGCCATTAAACAAACAAGGAGTTTTGCTTTCCACTCTTTATTGGTGATGTAAAGATTTTATACAAGGCTGAATTCATGGAAAACCTATGAGCAGTTATTACATTCATATTTTTGCAGTTGCAAAACTACTACATACAATATCTTTGCATGAAGTACACAAAACTCAGTAAACAGAATAAAGAAATCTAACTGTTGTGATTTTGGGTTATTGATCGATTATTAACTTGAAAAACCAAAGAAATATTTGGTAGTTGATGAATGACTGGATGAGGTTTGTTGTAAAAAAATATATAAATCCTCTAATGTTAATATTTGAAATACAAATAATCTGGTACATTTAATCAAAGCATATTCAAACTTCATATATGACACAGTATATGGTTACGATTGGGTTTTTTATCTTTACCTTGTAATTTACGTACATTATATTTAATAATAGGTAGTTGTTTTTTTTTTAAAGAATGTTTGAAGGTACTTTTTTTAATTAAACTATAGAAACATGCTAAAAGGATTGGTTACGATTGGGTTTTTTATCTTTACCTTGTAATTTACGTACATTATATTTAATAATAGGTAGTTGTTTTTTTTTTAAAGAATGTTTGAAGGTACTTTTTTTAATTAAACTATAGAAACATGCTAAAAGGAATCCTCAATTTTAATAAGTGACTGGAGGTGTATGGTAATGTTGTCATCTGCAGGGATGCTGCCGTTTGTTTGGCTTTTCTAATAATTATTTGCTTAAATATTAAATAACATAAAAAGAAGCTAGCAGTAGAACGTGTGTCAGAGGGAGAGGTGGGATCAGCTCATCAATCCTAAATCTCCCTGTATATCCAACCTAACAGTGTTAGGACAGTTTGTGTATGACGCCCATAAGCAGACCCTGCAATGCACTCACACAGTAACAGGAAATTTCTGCATACTTGAACCTTGACTTTAAGGTGCCTAACGTACCCAAATGTATATGTTAAGAAAAGCCTCTCCAGTAACTGTTAATGATAAGCTCAAACAAACAGAAGCAGCAGCTGCGTTCAGTTACATCTGTACTGACTGTCCAGCTGCACTCCATCAAACAGACTCAGTTCAGTGGATCCCCAGCTGAACACGTTCCCCACCACAGTGCTGTTCTTCTCACACGACATCTGGTCTCGGATGTCTGCCGTGGTCAGGACGTAGTCCCACACGTTGACGTCGGTCATCTTACCCACAAAGGCGTCGGTGTTGGAGATGCCCAGTAATCCGTCCTGGTCTTTGCCTAAGATGAACACACCGCCCGGGTTGATGGTGTAACCACTTTGCAGGTACCGCTGCTCCCCCACCATGCCGTTGATCCACAACTCTGCACCGCCAGTGTGTGATGACCACGTGACGCAGTAGTTGGCCCAGTCGCGTGACTTGAAGTTGTGAGGCAGGTTGACGAACTCGTTGCCAATCCAGAGCCCCACCTCTTTTCCATCTCTGTCCTCGCCGATGGAGATCATCAGCTCGTTCTCGTTGCTGTTACTGGCGTAAGAGATGACGGTGTGGATGCCCTCGATTTGAGGGAGAACGTGCATACAGACGGTGAAAGAGTCCAAGTCCATAGAATGACTAAGGCGGGCCAAAGCATAGCTGCCGGAATTTTTCTCCGGGAAGTTGAAAACGAGGGGGAACAGAGCGCGAGGTTCTGACAGAGAGAGATTAAAATGTGTCGTTCACCACAGAGTTGTAGCTCAGAATCAGATCAAAATAACAACAACAAACTCACCATTTCTAGAAGCCTTTGTATTGCGTTGACCTCCTGGAGGACATAAATTCAAATATTTAACTGTTAGTTGAACAGTTACACATTTATCATATATCAGTATCGGTTGATACTTATTTTCGAAAATATTGTGTTTTGACAATATTGGCGTATCGGATATTGGCAAAAACGTAATATCGGATATCCTTAGAATTATACTCGTACACAGAACTGGCTGGTAGTATAGGTTGCCTAAGGTGCCATCTGCTGGAGGTGGCGATGTTGTAAACCCCCACCACCACCACCACCAGAAAAAGAGAAAAATCTGAGCAATGAGGAGTGCCAAACTCTGGTATTGTCTTAGGCACCAAAGGGTCTGGAACTATTGACATTTCCAAGTAACAAACAGGCAGAAGGAACAAACTCCACAGGGAAGGACCATCAGTTACTGTTAAAGAATCAAACAGGTGAAACACAAAAAAAAAATACTACAGTAACACAACAGTTCCTATGTCGTCTCAGTTAGTCATTATAACCAGTGTTCAGCACTCACCTGAATGTACGATCCTTCCAAGGGAAGTTATCAGACCCTCAATCTTTAACAGTTTGGATTCAATTTCATCTTGGCGGCAGAATGCTAAAAGGAAAATGACCATAATTACACTGATTACAATTAGCCATTCTAATCAGTTAACAGTTTCCGCTGGTGTTTAAGCAGCCTCCTGCCACGCGCCACATACTTCCTTTCCCAAGGCGAGGAAGGAAAGAGGACTCGACCACACGGTCGTTGAGAGGCTGAGCCATGCGGTAATCATTCCACAGAGTCTTGTTGTCCATGTCCATCAGACTGCTCTCCAGTTTCCTGATCTGTTCATGGACAGAAGGTACAAAACTTACTGTATGTCACTTGGAGTTCATTGCAAGCATCGCCACTTCTGTACCGTCTGTGTTTCCTAAATGTTCCTTGACAGCAGTACCTGGTTGTGTGACAGAGTGATGGGTGTGTCAAACACGGTCCAGAGGATGCTCTCGTAGCAGGGTGGAGTAGTCAGAGAACCCTGGTACCTGAAGAAGTGGTTCATGTTCTCCGGCAGCATTGAGCGCACGTTGATACTGGATATGTTCATGGACTGACCTGTCGGAGACAATTCAGCTCAAAATGTAATTTCTGACCTTAGTAGTCACATACGCAATGTGATATTATTTAAGTCTTTAATGTACACTTACCAACGTACTTAATCTTATCCAGGTTGGAGATAAAATCACTGTAGTAAGTGTTCTCAAAATGTCCATCCTGGAAATAAAACATGAATAAATAAAGTATGGACAAGTCAGCTTTAAACGTGATCTAAATCACTGATCTACAGCACTTTGACAGAGACTATTTCAAGGTTGGATTTTTAAGGATTTCAATTTTATGTCACAATTTTCATTACAAAATTTAATTTGTGCTTGCTTTACAACCTAAAAACTGCAAAATAATAACTTCATTCTATCTGGACGTTTGAATCCATGTGTTTGTATGTGGGGACTGAACTAATTCTATTTCCCATCCAATTATACATATATTATAGTCCAAAGGTCTTGTTACTGAACTACCAGCTAACATCTGGGTATTTAAACCCAGTTCATGCACTAACATGAACAAATGTACAAGTTGCTGCTACAGTCACGCAGGATGTGAGGAGCGACGCTGCTGCACTGATGACATATCACAGCTGGAACACCCCTGACCGCCTCAGATCTGGGGCATTCCTCTGGAAGCAAACACTCAGGTTCTCAACTGAGCTTTAAACCCAGCAGGATGAGTGGAACAAAGTACCACGCACTTCAAAGAACTTTGGTATGTTTGACAAATGATCATTTTTCATTACAGACACATTTTATTATTCTTAGGCTCGCAGAAAAGGGTCAAAGGGAGGAGGGGCCTACGTACATCATAGAAGAAGGCCAGCACTGCCAGTCCGTCGGGCTTATCTTTGGCTTCACTGAAGCTCTTATACTTGTCAGAATTGTAATGGACCACATGGAGCTGGAAGAAAGTGTGGAACAGGTTAGGTCAGAGGTCAAAGGAACAAGAACATTCAACATAGAACATGAACAACTTTGAGAAACTTTTAGGTGAATTCTAAGATGGAGCGAAATGCTAATATGTCCAAATGTTATTTCCAAAGTAAAATGGGCATCATTGATATATTTGTTTAATCTTTTATAGCATTATCAACGGGCTATAAACATTTCCACTTTCACCAGGATTCATTGTGCTGCCATGTGGGAGTTTACTGAGGCGGTTTAATTATTTAAAATCCATTTTACGCCCATAGTTTTGATACCTGGTTACACAAGGATTAAAGAGCCTCTCAGGTCTGTGTATACAAGTGTCATGGACTTGACTGAGAGCAGCCTACACTGTAAACAGACAGTTGAACTGTTATCAGGCGATTAGGTGCAGCTACAGCCTATTTTGTAGATGGTTCCTGTTCTTCAACTTTATTTATTTAATCTCATCTAAATCAACCTCTGCCATGTAACGAATGCCGTCTATGGTGTGTTCTGCTCCGCTGGCCTCCAGGTCCCAGCCGCCCCAGTGCAGGTGCATCTGAACAGCAGTGTATTTTCCAGGGAGACCTTTGGTGATCATCATGGTTGGAGGCAGGTCGATTTGAACTAGTGAAAATATTAAGAAATGAATGCAGGAAAAAAAAGACATTAATTTGGGTTTTTGCCAGGTGTTTTATTTGGTCTATAAAATATTGAAGGGCATCAAAAAACACCAACTGCTCTTCCTCCTATACCTAAAACCTTACTTAAATGCATATCAATGTTTTGGTTTTTTGTTGCAAGGTATTTTAGTTTTTAAGACAACAATAATACTTTTTGATATCTGTCATTCCTAAATTTCTCAGAGCCATAAAGGCTAATTAAATGCAATAGTTTGATAAAAAAAAACTAAAAACTAGTTTGATTAAAAAAACAGACATTTAGAGAAACAAAAAAGGGGAAAAGCTTCAGCGTAAAAAAAAACAAGATAATAATAATAATATAGTTTTATTATTTTTGGTATTTTTATGAAACGAACGAACAAAATATAGCTATATATGGATACATACTAATAATAATAATAATAATAATCATAACAATCATCATTATCTGTCAATTATAAATGAAGTTATTTTTAAATCTATATAAATACAATAGCTGTGGTCTGTGCTATATTTAAAGTCACATTAAGTCAACACTGGCTACAATGTTTTCACATTAAGTCAACACTGGCTACAATGCTACAACCGACGCAACAAGTGCTTGCGTTCTTTGCATCATTACGCTGATTTATTACAATTACAACATATTTATTTCCTCTTACCGGTGTGTCCGTTGTTGGACATGCGAAAAGTCCCTCTCTGAGTGTCATATCCAGCCAGCTCCAGCTGCAGTATGTCTGGGTTGTGTCTGACTTTGCGTCTCTGGATGTCAATCGGAGACTGTTTCTTTCCGCCGCAAGCAGGATACTTGGTCGGCCAGTGCATCTGGTCCAGAGCTCCCTCTGTACCGTGATTATTAGTTCAAAAATTTAAAAAAATTACACTCTAAAAATTAATAAACCACTTAAATATGTAATAAACCACTTGGTCACCAGATCATGGCGCACCGGTACGTTTCATGACCTGCGTCAGACTTTTACGCACAGTTCATACGTACAGTATATATAGATTTAATGTTTAAAGCAGTCATTTTCTGCGCTTCTTTGACTTTATCTTTGGCAAAGATGTAGAGGTACAGGTCGTTAAACATTACATTGTGACGTTTACTGACATCACAGTCACATACTGTAAACAGACTCTGACAGGTTATCACAAGTACTTGGCAAAAGCGTTGCGCGTCGCTCACAAGACCTAAAGGTCAAATGGCTGAATTATAAATAGTCACAAAAGGTTCCTAATACATTAGCATTGACAGCCTGAAGAGAAAGTGCTAAAAAATGAATTATTTATCTTGGATGAAATTTGACAAAATAAACAGGAATTCTGAAGAAAAACGCGGATCGTCCCGAGGTTAAATGCAGTACAACTACTTGATACCTGTGTATGTCCAGTGTATATCATCATGACGGATCCCAGCAGTGGCCACGCAGATCCAAACAGCAGTGGTAAACAGAGAGAGGAGCTTCATGGCTGTGTCTGTGCTCCTTCACTGCCGGGACACTGACTCCTCTCTCAGCCTCCCTCTGCTGCTCTTTAACTGGAGTGAAGGGAGAGGTGTTGCAACCTGAAAACGCCCAGAGCTTCTTACAGCAGCAGCCTCGCAGTCAGCGACTGCTGTGAATGACTGTCTGGCACAACTTTTGAAGTGCGTTGTCAAAGGAGTCTCATCAGGAATGTCATTCGGGAACATAACAAATCCCTCGCTTCAGGTAATGGAAGGCTAACTCCGAAATGTGTCCTACGTAATCGACAACATGGAGGAACCACGGGAGCAGTTCAGATAATTAAAAGAGGAATTTTTCAAAAATTGTACTTTTTTTTGTCTCAAAAAAGTTTTTGATAACTTTTAGCACAAACAATGGTCAAATTACGCCACTTACGGTTGGGCTAATCATACTCTAAGCTGCCGAGCAGATACTCACATAGTTAAGCTACACTAGATAAGATCCGCTAGAGTTACATCTTTTCAAGGTCTTTGACTGGTCACATCGAAATCAAACAGAACAAGGTAATTAATAATTAATTTTAGCTGCTTTTACATTTTATTTGCTTTGTTTATCCCTTGTCCTTACTGTTGGCCGTTACACGTTGTCATGTTTGCAATTAGCATTTAGCAAGCATCGGGCGGTAAATCAAGTGTTACTTCTGTGTATATTTTATACATAAAATTATGATATTTATTCTTTAAAAATTATTAGCAACACTAAAATTCTTATTCTAAAAAAAGTTACAGGTTTATTTTGTTTTACAAGTTGACCTGTCTGACCATTACATTTGGTGTTACTGCTGTGTATGTTTTTTAAATATATCTAAATGAGCTAGCTGCGTGCTGCCTAACAACTTTTAAGATTTTTATTGTTCTACCACACAGATTAATATTTGTACCACGTTGCAGTGGCAGAAGATTACGGTGTTTAACCTAGGTCCATTTTGCTTCCACTTCTTTTAGATTGTATCAAGAGCCACCTCTTGACATAGGCCAAATAGGCAGTTGCGCCATCTGGTGGAGGGGCTGAAGGAAACAGAACCAAATTACAATGGAGCGACAGGAGGCACCAAATATTTTGTGAGTAGCTACCATGCAAACATGTATTCTTATAAAGAGCTTATATGCCAGGGTTATACAATAAAACACTTTCCCTCACAGGCAGTCAGTCAGCCCTTGGGTATTTTTGCATTATTTGTTTACTACCTATATCTCCTAAACACATGTAGGCGTTTTGTCAGCACTTTCTCACACTAATAATTTGGTCTTAAACCAGGTCGGGACAGAAACCAGTCTTAGTCTGTCTTAGTAAAGCAGTGAGTCATTCAGAAGAATTCTGAACTTGGATAACATCGAATATAAACCCTTCCCTGCAATAACAACACAGCATATAATACAATATAACCAACATGTATCACAAGTTGCGACTTGTTTTGAACGTCAGTGAAAAATACCAGAGAGATATCAAAATAAGGGTTGTGTAAACACCCCTGTACCAGTGTCGGATATTACTCCTCCGACTAGAGTTTGTCCCAGTTAAATACTGTATGTTTGTAAGACATTCCCGTCTCACAAACTTTGTTTGGGTCTTCAAATAGGTGGAAGGCATTGAAGAGTAAAACCAAAAACCTTTGTGTGTGTACCAAACTTGATTTAATTATACCACAATCAAAGGACCCACCTTCATCTAAGGCCCCCATTGTTCCTTCCGCTCCAGCCGGGAGGTGCGACCTCCGTATGACTGATAATGATTGATATCGGTTGTTTTTGTGTTTGGCCAATGAGGTCTGCAAGCAAATAAACATTGCAGAAAGCACACACACACACACTTCTTTTCTGTGTTTTTCGGTCCTTAGTTCTTCAGCCCCACTTTAAATATTACAAATATACGATCAATTTTATTCTTTACCTCCAACGTAAATCTGACATCAATTCTAATCCCAACTCCAAACTAAATCTCGAACCTCATAAAGCCTTCTCACTAAGGAGACCAGGAAAAGTGTCCCCACAATAATATTATTTAGAAGACATGTCTAGACCAGGTACACAAACAGGCGCACACTTTATGAGATCAAGAGACGTAACCAGCCAACATCTGCACTTAGATGTGATCCCTAGCTGCTGCTTCTTCTTAAGTAAATTATAGGGTTTATCTTTACCTTAAGGACAATCACAGTATTTAAGTTCTTTAATCATGTGAGCTTTAATGATGTAAGCATACAAGCTATGACCATACTTAAACAATTAAAAGACTACATATGTTGACAGTGAGATTCTGACTCTGGTTCAGCTGCAGAATACAGTACAGCAATTCACAGTAGTCTAGATCAAAGGTCTAAATATTTTTTTAAAAAATACATAAATCTCTGCTTTCCTTCCCTCAGGGGAACGTTATTTAACTGTGGTTGAAGTGTTAACATTTATGATGACAGAACTTTGTTGTGAGAGCGATCCTTCACAACACTATTGTAAGAGACTTGTCCTGTTTTCACAAGTTGGAATTTATTACTTAGCATTAGCAAAAAGGTCTCAAACATGTTGTTAACCAAATTTTAAAAGAAGGCTCACCCAGCATTTTGACATTTAGTGGAATGTTGCTTAAGCATTGCAATTAAAACATACTCTAGGTTATAATGAAAATAACTTACCAAATTGGTTTTCTAAATTAAAGATTAAATTAGAAGATGGAGCTTCTAAATCTTTAAATAATACCTGTTACTAGTAAGCAAGATTTGAAAAATACTGATTTCTCTCTCTCTGGTTTCAGTTGACACTTAAAACAATTGTTTGTTTAGCTGCAAATTCATCAGGAAAATCAAGAATGTTTACATTTACCTGGGCATTAAAGATCAGTCTAGGAATACCATGTTCACACATTCACACTTGAAGTTTGCCCAGGCCACAGTCTGAGCCACTGACTAGCTCCTAAAGAAAACTGGTCTGCTATTTATTGGAGCACAGCCCTGACAGAGAAGCAGGGACACCGCATATAAAGAGCGTTTGTACAGGTTAAAATGTTTACCTCTTCAAAACTGCTCATTCCTAGGTTTGCCTGTGGATGTGGGTATTTATCATTTTGTATCAGGTGGAGACATCTAGAAAAATCTAGAGATTAGCAAACCAACTTTGTCCAGACATCGGACACTCCACCACGACTGAAGCTTTTGGACAAACATTTTTGGTTTGGTTAACACAGAGATGTAAAATCACCAGTTCATTATTGTGTTCCTATTAAACTGCTTGAACCTTTCTTGTCAAATGATAGCAGGGTGCCATGCACCAGCCTCCAACCATTTCGCAGGTGAATGTCAGCAGCAGAGGGCGCCACACAGGTGGCAGTTTTCCTGTAGGATTTCTGGAAAGCACATATTCTGGAAGGTACAAAATTAGGCCTTTAAAAAAATAGATATTTTTTTAAAAATTCTCGTCGTTAATTAGGCCTTTAAAAAAATAGATATTTAAAAAAAAATTCTCGTCGTGGCTACCTTGGTTTAGTTGAAACCCTTATCTTTAGCTTGCTTTTTTGTGTGTTTTTCTTTTTCTGGGATTTGTGGCTGGCTTTTAGTCATCGTTAAACAACACGTTTGTATGACAACAATACTGAAAGTAGCCATTTATATATAATGTTGTACAGTTTTATTAGAATTGTTAAATTCTAAAGGATATTACAGAAATAATAGTATAGAGTTCATATAATACGTGTACTAAACTTGCGTAAATATATACTCTTATTAGATCACTTATTAGTGATCCTATTACTTTTTGAAATCTTAAATATTTCAGCCTGGGAGAATTCTGTGTTCAGAATGTGTGCAGCTCTTGATATAATCACAGGAGACAGCGGTTGTCGATTTGCTTTTTACTTCTCTGAACTCCCTATCTGTGACATGCTTACCGAGAACAGTAGGTGGCGTAGAAGGACTTAACCGTGACAGTGTGTCAAGGTCACTGCAGCAGGCTTTCATTTCACTGTGGCTTCAGGATGCTGCACTGTGCAGCTGCATTACAGTTTGTTCAAATATGACACACGGGATTTCCCTTCCACTCTCTCATGATGAGGTTCATTAAAAATGCAACAACGGAAGAAACGTTTGATTTTTGAAGTACACTATGTAAGACACTATGTATGTAGATTTGTATGTCTTGTGAGACACCGCTAAGCTAATATTGCTAAAAACAGCGCAAAATAAGGAAAGTGATACATTATATTTAATCCTATTGTATCATTTAGGGTGTCGAGCCTGAATTATATAGTGTGTAGTTAAATACTTTGTCATGTCTACTAAATTTGCTAAAGTGCCTGAGTATATTTTTGCTGAAAGACTGTAGCAGGCAATGTGGCATTCGTGTCTCCCATGAACAAACATGGATATCCAAATAAGGTGACAATGACTTCCCTGTTCTCCATCATACAGTTTTTATAAAACCTAAGAGCTGACGGGAAAACCTTAAACTTTTCCATTTGCTGGACGTCTGGGAGGCTTCTCTCGGAAAAAGACGAGTGCAGAAAATCGTGAGCGGCCAAATGACGTGTAACCAATCACAAATCACCGCAATGGAGGTTTCTCTCCCTGCTTTTCTGCACGTACACATCTCTGCGTCACATCTCCCCACGCGGCTTGTACTAGGTCCTTACGTGAGCCAGACAAACTACAAATGCTTCCATCATTTTAACACAACAATAAAACGCTGTGGGCTTGAGAACGTTGCTGCAAAGTATGTCATTGTAACAAGTGATACTCCTGCCGACATATCAAACTCGCATCCTGAGCGGGCTTCTTCCTCTTCTCGCCGCAGTGAACGTGCCTGGCTCGGCATCCAACCCACGTGATACGGACTGAGCCAATGGGCTCTCCCCAATGGTCGCTACTTCCTGGATACGTCCACTTATCAATGACTCTGCGACGTCACGAGCGCCTTCTCTGCCTCACCGCACCACAGAGACACAGCGCCGTCCTTTAGGCCGGAAAGGTAATTCAAAATACTTCCATTTCTGATTTATTTCTAATCGTTTTGGGCAAATACGTGTTTTGTTGACATTTAAAAGTTAATTTATTTCAGTTGATAGTTATTTTTCGTTCAATAATAGTGACGCTACCGCCTTATTGCTTCGACGATAAACTTGAAGTCTTGTCCTTGAGTTAGCCGATGACACGCGTGTGCGTTCTTTTTTGGATTTTCATATTCCTTCATTGATTTCTCGAGTTAGTTTTGAGTCGTGTGGTTGTGTAGCGGTGTGGAGGATAGACTAGTCTCTACCCGCACCGTTTATTTTTAAACCAGGCCGTCAGCTGGCGAGATGTCAGTCCATTTAGAGCTGCAGTGAGTGTGTGTATGGGTAGGGAAGTGGGCATCAGGTTGCAGCCCTAACTTCCAGCACAGGATAGAGAACAGCCATTGCCATCTGCTGTAGCAGAAGAACAGTTGGACTGAAGAGTGCGATGGGTTGATGGTCTGAAGCGCAGCCTCTTCACTCAGTGCTGGACTGTTAGACGACTACCAGTTGCTTGCAGCAGACGTGGGGGTGTGTCCGAACGGAGGAAGGAAAAGTACTGCACGTACAGAGATCACACCACCACCAGGGAGAGTCAGAGGCAGACAGGAGGCGGTTTTCTCTAACCTATGTAGTGTTAATTATGCTACCAGACCTGTTGACTATCGGCATCTCGAATTAACTCTCACCAGAGAAATCGATTCATATTATCTATGCATTCTACTCAGACATATCAAATATCAAGTCTGAATTATTTATTTGTCCGTTGATGCCATTTTGTGCTGTCATCCCAGCCAGGTTACCTTGTCTTCCAGCAGTAATGCTGTCTCTGTACGTGTTTGACTTTGAGCAATTTGACATTTAGTGGAAGTGATGTGTGGGCAAGGTTTATTTTGTAAAAGTCTTAAAATAATCAGATTATCAATCTGTCTTTATACATGGTTATATCTTTTCAGTAAAATGACTGTAACATGTTATTTACTGTGCACATATTCTAGTGTTCATAGATTTGGAATACCACCAAAGTTTTACCTGAATTTACAATTAATATATTGATTATATATGGTAATAGAATAAACTAGCTTGAGTTAGTATTTCCTTCTTGTTTTTTGGGGGGGGTCCCATTTTGTCAATGGTGATTTTCATATTTTAGCCCCTTACCTCCATTGGACTGTGAAATGTTTCCATTTAGACCACAGTGCACTTGAGCTGATTGATCCAGCAGCGTGTATTCACGACAGTGAATTTTTCCATTGGGATTTCTGTAGTTGTTGTGGAGCATTGCACCAGAGATTGCTTTTAGTTCAATCGTGCGTGCCATCAGTCAGAGTGGGTTGATGGGAAAAGTTGCTCCGGGGTTTCTGGGTAGGTTGGTACAACCAATAGAATTCAGCAGCTCTGCAGACATTATAGTCACACTGTCTGGTTTAAAACATCCTCTGACCTCCACTGTTTGCGTTCTGTCCAGGTTTTATTAGATAAGGAGCTGACTGATATCTTAAACTAATAACACACACAATGATCTGCAGACAAAAAATGACAAACGTTTACTGAATTGAGTCAGTCTTGTGTTGACATTCCTCTATTGGTATCAATTCTTTCTCAACTCTTTCACAGTGGTTCTCCTAAATGTTTCACAGGCATTTTGCAAAACAGTTTTGTAATCTGATATGTAAAGTTGGTAACCTGAAGGGGCGTTCATTCTTCTGCTGCATAGGCCACACCTTCCTGTGACTTATATCCCTGCAACCCACGCCATACCACATCATTTCATTCCTGTGCCATGAACATCCCTATATACTTTATTATACCTAATAATAAAGTATATTATAGTTACTCTTCTTTATTACTGTAAATTTAATTACCTAACACTTTAAATGAACCTTTGTCTATTGATTTTTTTTTTATTATTATTAAACCTTTTCTTATTCTGCCTACATTTTACTTAAACCAAAAGCTTTGAGCAGTAAGTACCAAAACCAAGAAGCCAGCGACGGCGTCTGCTCGGTGAGTCTGCACTTTTCTGATTGCTGCTTTCTGTCATTTCTTCTGCAGAACCAGAACCATGTCCATCCTGAAGATTCACGCTCGTGAGATTTTTGACTCCCGTGGTAACCCCACCGTGGAGGTTGATCTCTACACCAAGAAAGGTAACATATGGCTTTTGTATGTTTTTAAGCATTGTCATAAAAATTATAATGTAGGGTTTGGACAGAAAAAAACAAGTTTGATCAAATTTGCAATGTCATGCCTTGGAAATTATTTCGAGTCTGTAACCTTACCAGTCTTCTTAGTTATTTTGTAATTAAGAAGATTTAGTGACAAAATACACCTTTCTCTGCATAAAACATTTAAACCATTTATCTTATTAAATATAAAAGTTGAAGTTTTGAGAACAATATATTTGTATGAACCTTTTTTATTATTTTAAAAGAACAAACCATAATGTAACAATTAACAACAATTGTGCAGAAATGTTTTTCTGCCTAAACTGAATATGGTCCCATCACTATTTTTCAATTGCGTATTATGTACTTTATGACCAGTAATAATAATAATAATAATAAAATAATATCCCTGGTAGCACTACCTATGTATATGCAGATTTTTTTCAGATGACATAGTTTGTAGTGCTTCAGAATGGTAGCTCCTCAGTTGGCATCTCCGTGTCCTCCTCAGTGGATGAGATCAAATGGCGAATGCATGAAAATAGCCTCAGTAATATCACACTGCCTCTGCAGCACTTAGTTGCTGTGATGTTCCTGTCATGTGTGCATATATACAGTAGAAAACCAATGAGTTGTGGATTATCTGGTGATGTTTCATTTTATGTCAGCTCAATGACTTTGGTTAAAGAAACCATGGATTGTAATCGTCCACCTCAGATGAGCTGTTTCAGTAAATACTGTTTGGTCAGTGATTGATTATTTTGCTGAGCTTTTTGCCTCTGGGAGCCAAAACAAAGGGTTAGTGAAATGTTCCCAGAATGTTAATGAGGGACCAGAGAGACTACTGACATGGAAGTAAGTGGAACAGACCACCTCGACATGCTGACCAGAAAATAAGGGCTCTGCTGTGCAGCTCTGCTTTCAGATGGTCCTGGAGTTTACTGTAAATAAAACCTTTATTCTCTGTACTGGGACAGAGTTCCGTGTTTTCACATCAACGGCAACACAGATCAGGTGAACCTGCTGCTCCCAGAGCACGTTTGTCGCTCTA